TTCTTCCCCATCCTTTACCTCTCAGTGATTAATTTTCTTTGATTTTTTTTATTGAAGTGTAGTTGATATGCAGTATATGTAACAGGTGTACAATATAATGATTCATAATTTTTAAAGGTTATACTTCACTTATAGTTATTATAAAATATTGGCTATATTCCTTACATTGTGCAACATATCCTTCTAGCTTATTTTAAACATAATAGTTTGTGCCTCTTAATCCCCTACTTAGGTCCACTGCTTGCCTCTCGAAAGCCAATACACATGTTGGTAGAGAGGAAAGTTTGCTTTATTTTGGAGGCTGGCAACAGTGGTGGGGGGGGTGCAGAGGGAGGACTCGTGTCCAGAGGACATCTCCTCCCTTGCCGATCAGTAGGCAAGAGCTTTTAAAGGGAAGTTTCAGGAGTGTATAGGCAGAGGAAGGGGACTACATGCAGAAAAGCACAGTCAGCTCTGACAGTCTTCTTGAAATTGGTCCTGCAGTGGTCTGATCAGTGTCATCTTGATTGTTTTAAGTGCAGTTAATCTTCAGTTCCAGGGTCAGTTTGTTCCCCTCTCTTTGAGACCAGTTCTCAGAAAGTGGAGACTTATGTCATGGCCACAGTCTGGTCAACAAGCAGTTAACTTCTTCCACCTGGTGGGGGTTTCAGTATCTACAAGATGGCTCAAAGGATACAGTTCAGAATATTATCTACAGCCTTTGAGGAGGAACTGAAGGTCCCTGACTTTGCTTAATGACTAAACTATTATCATTTTGCTTCACTTGACTATTTCCCTTTGTTTCTGTATTTTCTTATTTCTCTGATTAAACTTTTTCTTTGACTAAAGACTTTCTACAGACAAGAGGCAGGCAGAGGACATGGTGGGAAGGTCTGTCCTGGGAAGGCTCCATAGGGTCCTGCTCCATTTCACTGCCCATCTTACCCCTCCCTGCTTCCTTCTCCCCACTGGAAACCACTAGTTTGTTCTGTGTAAGCTGTGGTACATATATACAGTGGACTACTACTCAGCCATAAAAAATGAAATTTTGCCATTTGTAACAACATGGATGCACTTAGAGGCTATTATGCTTAGTGAAGTAAGTCAGAGAAAGATAAATACTATATGATAGCACTTTAATGTGAAATCTAAAAATATAACAAACTAACAAAGATAACAGAAAAGAAGCCCACTCACAGATACAGAGAACAAACTAGTGGTTACCAGTGGCGAGGTGGAGGGGCGATACAGAAGTGGGGGAGTGGGAGGTACAAACTATTGGGTGTAAGACAGTCTAAAGGGATGTAATGTACAACTCGGGAAATATAGCCAGTATTTTGTAATGACTGTAAATGAAAAGTAACCTTTAAAAATTATATTAAAATACAGATTTTTAAAAAGTGAATGGCTGGATCATCGGGAATACTGTCTTCAACTGCACCAGGTATTGTCAAATTTTATACTCCAAAATGATTTCTTCTTCTTGACTTGGTCTCATTCTTTTCCTTTCCTACGGTTATATCTAAAACTCAGCTATTGTTGAATAAACTCACCCTGGGGTGGGGTGGGGGCAAAAATCCCTGAATATACCTTCACAGTTTCCTCCTGCTTATAGGAATTTCTGACCAAACTCACAGGAAAACTGAGAATACGAATTAAATGGTGCCTGTGTGGTATTCTGAACTTCTTGGAGAAGCTGTCTAAATCCACATTAATTTTAAAACCAAAATTTCCCATTGTTTCCAGGAGAGGGCACAAATTCATTTTATGTGTATTCTCGGGGCTCTTTACCAGCCTTGCTAACCTCACGCCCAAAGGCAAACATGCATGTCTGCACGCAAACACACCCTAACTCCTGCTACGCACTCACAGGTAGACACACGGCCTCTGCTGTCATTTCTGAGTCTATGATAAGCAACCTTGGGCAGGCTCCTTGCCCTGCGAGTTGCCGGGGCTCCCGTGGCTGCGGAATGGGGAAGGAGGGAGGGTGTTATAAACGGAATACATCTGGCTTTAGTTTATAGTTCCTATATTAATTTTCCTAATTTCCTGTGGCATTGGTGTTCCGAGAGTAGTCATAAGAGTGGTCCCAGGCAATAAGGGAGTGAATTGTCTGCAGAGACTTTTAAAACAATGATAAAAACAGACTAAGTTGGCCTACTCTTAAAAAATCACACACTCACAATTTTACTCACTGTCGGATACAATGTGAAATACTCTCCCTCCCAAGTCTTTTGTTTATCTAAGTTCTAAAAAAATTTTTTAGTTACTCTTCAATTTTATAATGAATAATATTAGCATGTTTAATTGCTTATCCTTTAATAAATATTATAATCTACATGGAAGTTCACTCACAGAAGCCCTGGCATAAATGGCCTTATCTACATGTGTCTGTTGGAGAGTGTAGTTCCTAATGGTTTAGAATCATTTATGCCTGCTTTGGGCACACTTTATGGCTTTAACTCCGGTGCAACTCTCTGCTTCTGCATTTAAACGCTAGATTTGAAATAAGTAACGGCAGTCTCGATGGCAACAGAACTAGAACTATTTCAGTTCTCTCATTCAGTTTAATTTTCTCATTTTTATGTGACCACTTGGAGATTTCATTTGTGATTAAAATTCAAAAGAGTGAAAGAGTGCAAACTGCAAGGTGTAATATTTTTGTCTAAGTACAAGTTTTAGTTCATTCACGAAAACTTAACAGCATTTGAATAATATCTTTAAAACTGAAATTGATTCCTTTTTAATCATCATTTTTCTTAATTTTTATTCACTTACTATTAACCTTAATGTTATTTATTTCTGTGGCAGACCAAGACATTCATTTGAAAAATAATAATGTAATTTTGAAGTATTAATCCACTACTTTTTCTTCTTTTTGGATCCTGTAATAATTTATCTTATTATTTAATTATTTATTTTTATTGGCGTGATTGTGTATACCAAGTTCAATAAAAGAAAAATCTCCCTGTGTTTTTTTTTTTCTGTTCATAGTGTTATCATTTTACTTTATTATTATTACTGGAAATGATGTAGGGAGGAGGGTCTGTTAAACAATGATTTGCTCTGTGTGTCAGATACAGAGCGGGTTCTCCTGCCTCCCAGGGTGGTAGGACTAATAAATTATCACATGTAGATCTGCAGAGCCAGCAGTGGGTGAGAAGACTGCCCCCTGCTGCTGGGGTGTGAATCTGCCCACAAGGCTGATGGAGGGAGATTAACCCTCACTTTACATTCATCTCCCTCTTGGCAGTGCCAGAGACTCTACAGTTGCAGACTGACTAATTGACTACAAGGTCAAGCCTCAAAACCCTATTCTGATGAAACTGAAAATGGGCAAGGAGTTAAAACTCAATACAAAATAGCATTTCTAATTGTCTTCTTACCCTCTTGCTGATTTCTTTTGGAGGGAGCGCTACTCATTAGAAAATAAAATGATTGGCTTATTAAAAGATACTATACGTGATACTAATCTTTGTTAAATTTTAATAATTTACTACTCATTTATATAACTGATGCTGGAAAATGCATCTAACTATGTATTAGAATTACTAAAGGTTATATTCAAAGTTGGAAAGGAGGGAGAATGTAACTTTTAAAGGATCTGAGTAGCTCAGATAAGGTGTTCTTTCAAAGATAAGTGATATAGAATGTTAAAGACCCTAAAGATTGCATAATCCAGCTTCTATTTATCAATAAAGAATCCAGACCCCAGAGAACATAAGACTTTTGTGTAGGGGGAGTCCCAGGGCCAGAAGCCAGTGACCGTGACTTTTAACTACAGGCTCTCCTCCTTAATGACAGAACTTCTAAATGGCAAGAAAATGCCCTTTACCTGTTTATTGTGTCAACTTAAAGTATTTAAGATAGGTTCTCCAGAGTTACTGCTGTCTATAGTGGCCATGGACCAAATAATGAAAAAGAACATTATAAAGATATCCCTACCTTGGCAAATAGCTAGATATTGATTAATGAAGATATCTATAAGAACCACTTGTTACAGTACCTACAGCTTAAATAGAATTAATAAATAATTACTGAGCATCTACCATGTACGTGACATGTATTCCCTGTGGAGACTACTGAAGGACTAAATAATAGACAGCCTTGCATAACACACACCATACGCCAGTCTCTGTTCTGTGCAAACTATGATCCACTTCTCATTTCAAGGAACATAAATACAGGAAAGGTGAACGGCTGTGCAGATCTAAAGAACAGTTAAGGAAGACAATAATGTCCACTGGGCAGTACACAGAGATGAGGGAATGGTAAATCAGAGCTCTTTGGGTCCAAGTGGCAGAAACTAAACTAGAAATAGGAAGAAAAGAAGGAAGGAAGGAAGGAAAAGGGAGAGAGAGAGAGAGAAAGAAAGATAGACAGACAGACACTACTTATTTGCAGTCCTTATTTGTTGCTATGGGCTTAATTGTATTCCCACCCCTGCCCTGCTCTCAAAATTCATATGCTGAAGACTTAATACCAGTACCTCAGAATGTAACTGCATGGAGAGAGGGGGCTTTAAGAGGTAATTAAGGTAAAATGAGGTCATTAGAGTGGGGCCTTACTTCAGTCTGACTGACATCCTTCTAAGAAGAGGAGATTGGGATGCCAATAGCACAGACATAGGGGGGACCACGTGAAGACACTGGGAGAAGATGGCCATCTACAAGCCAAGGAGAGAGGCCTCAGAAGAAACCAGCTCTGCCGATGTCTTCATCTTGGACTTTCCAGCCACTAGGACCATGAGGAAATACATTTCTGATGTTAAAGCCACACGGTCTGTGGCACTTTTGTCATGGCAGCTGCAGCAAACTAATACAGAGGGGTGCCGGGTAGTTGACAGAATTGAAGGAAGGGTTACAGGAACCAGTGAAAGCCAGTCACCTCAAGGACTAGAGCCAGGGCCTACACACACACACACACACACACACACACAAATCTCTCTTTCTCATCTGTGTTTGACTTCATTCTTCTAACTCTGCCTTTCTCTACAGACTCCAGAATATGAAAACACCAAGGATGGACTTAATTGACCTAATTTGGGTCTCATGTCCAACTCTAGACCAATCAATTCATTCTCCTCCAGTCAGGTGTGTCTACCACCCCTGCTGGCCCGTATCCTGAGTCTGGAGCCTCATCCAGTTCACTCTCCCCAAAGAGTAAACCTGGTGTCTGCTGGGGTGGGAGAAAGGTAGCCATTTGGCTGCTGACTGCTCCTTCAAGATTTTCCATAAACCTCCTGTTTGCAGCCCTGCCCCCATCCTCTCTTTCAGAAGAGGCCAATTCCAGGGCCTTTCTAGGGTGCGGTGCCATGAGCTGCCTTCCCTCTTAACAGCTCTCCATCTGCCGACACCCGTGTTTTGGTTGTGTCTCAGTTCTGCTAGGTTAGTCACCCTAGTCCAGCCCCTGTCCCTGTTTCCCCACAGAACTGACATTGACTCTTCACCCCTTCCCTCTGTCCTTGTGGATTTGGACCGTTTGGGCTTGTTTGCTGTCATTTCAGTGGCTTTTTTGGAAGGGATCAAAGAAAAGTGCATGTTTTTAAATGGCAGTGTTTAACCAGACGTCTATTCTGGGGATTTTCACATAATCCTCTCTGAACATGCCACAGTGGCTGCCTTCCGGCTGGGGGGTGCGGGTAGGGACTGGGGACACAGAGGAGAGAGGAGGAGGCCAGCGTGGGCGGGCCCTGGCCCCCACCCTCTATCAAGCAGAAAATCTCTGCTTTTTTTTATTCCTGGTTTATATTTTGGGCTTCTAAGATTTCATTCGGACAAAAAGCCTTTGTCTAAAAATAGAAAAACCTTAAAAACCACTGCACAACACGAGGCTGACTCCCACATATTTTATATAGTTGGAATCGTAGTGTATACCCAGTTTGGTATTCTGGTTTTGTTTAGTTATTTATTTTACATTATATTGCAGTACAAACATGTTTTCATTATTTCTACTGTAGCTTTTTCATGACCACTTTCTCAACCCAGTGCCTGGCACATGATAGATCCTTAGCAAACAGTGATTGAATGAATGAATGATAATATTTAATAGCTGCTGTTTCTAATTTTGTTGTCATTATAGTCATAACTTCTGTTGAATTCATGCATTCGTTCACCTAAAACATATTTGTTGAATACCTACTATGACTGTGCACTGGTGAATGGTGCTGGAAATAAAACAATGAATACGTTAAACATGGTCTTTTCCACACCAAACTTACAGTCTAAAAAAGGAATCTGGCAGGTGAATTGACAATCACAATACAGAAGCCTAAATGCTAGAGGAAACAAAAAGGACAATTGGAGCACTTAGTAGGGCCCCTAGCCTATACTTGAAAGTCTGGGAAGGCTCCCTGGAGGAAGAGACAAAGGAAAATAATTTTTTAAAATAAACAGGACATGCCAAGTGCAGAAGGAAAGACAAATGCTCCATGCAGAGGAAGCAGCAGGTACACCATTGGGCGCAGAGGAGACCTTAGCCCATCCCAGGACCTAGAAGAGGTTCAAGAAGATTGGAGGGCAATGTGCACATAAGTGAAATTCCAGGGAGGAGCTGGAGAGGCAGACAAGGGCCAGGGAATGAAAGATCTGATGAACTCCCTGCGTTTGAGGGCAATGAGAATCATTAAAGAATCTTAGAGTAAAACCCATTGGCCATTTCAAGGTCAGTTCTGCAGATCCTGTAGGGTCTGTAAGTTGTGACAAGTCTGCAACTCATCCCTAAGAGTAATAGGTACTATTGAGGGTTTGAATTAGGGGACAATATTTGCATTCCAAAAGACCCCAACAAAATAATAAAAAATACAGATATATACATATATATATGTATAACGGAATCACTTTGCTATACACCTGAAATTGACACAATACTGTAAATCAACCATATTTCAATTAAAAAGAACAGTAAAATAGAAAAAAATTCTTGATCAATTGTCAATAAACTATTTATTGAATAAACCTCAATCTTAAAAGAAAAAAAACACACCAACTGATTGCAATGTGAAGAATGGATGGCAGAGAAAGGAAGACAACTCAGGACTATCAGAGGCTAGAAGAGCATAGCAGTGGGGAGGAAGAGAGACAAATGGGTTCAAGGAACAGGCAAGGGTAGAAGCAATAGGTCTTGGTGGCTGAATGTGGGAAATAAAGGAGAAAGAGGCTCAGTCGACATCAAATTTCCGGCTTAGGCAGCGTGTGGATTGTGGCGCCGTTTATTAAGGTAGAGACCACAGGATGGGGAAACCAATGATTTCAGCTGGACACACTGCGATTAAGGTGCGTGAGGAACACCCAAGTGGAGCTGTCTGTAGAGGAAGAAGGAAATGTGATTCGGAAGCAGATGAGGATCTGGGTATCCTCAGTGGTAAGAGCTGTGGAGGAAGAGGCAGGAGGCCTGTGGTCAGATCCCCGAGGCATGCTGATAGTTCAGGATGGGCAGAGGGAGAGGAGCCTGCTAAGGAGCTGAGATGAGAGAGAGCCGCTCCAGGTGTTAGACGAAATCCAAGGAGGTGCTGGGTTCTGGAAGCTGAGCAAAGACAGTGCAGGAGGAAGAGTCAGTGTGTCAGTGTGCTATGACTGCGAAGTGGCACCAAGAATGTCCCTGGTGCTTGATTAGGCAGCTCCAAGCAGAATGATGGGACAGAAGCCAGGCTGCAGTGGTTCTGAAGCATCTGAGTTTCAGACAAAGTACTTAGGCAAGACTTTCAAGAAGCAGGACTGAAAGGGAGGAGAGAGAGATGGGGTCTAGCTGGAGCGGAAAAAGAAAGTAACAGAGACTTGAGCATGTTTGATGTTACCAGTGGCTCCGCATCACCACCTATTTAAAAACAAAACCAATCAACCAAACTCCCTAATCCACTTACTCCTCGGGGTTCTCCAATGTTGGGCTCCAACCAGCTTTATTTCCTACTATTCTCCCACCATCACCCTGTGCTTTGGCCAAACAGGGTAGCTCGGCAGATAAACTGCACGGTCTTGGTTTATGCTGTTTGCTCCCCTGAAATGTCCCCATCACGTCTCCTTGGTCCAACCCTAGCCACCTGCACCACCCACCTCTGTTTCTCGGGACCCAACAACACGCCATCCGGAGACTCTCCAGAGCTCACTGCTTGTCCCACTCTCAGATCCCTTCTTATCTTCTGTACCTAAGTCACTTGGACGTTTCCCTCATGACCCTTCTAGACTACAAATTTCCTGAAAGCATGGGTTGTAGCTTACTTAGCACTTTGTAAGCACTTTTGATACAGTAAGAGTTCAACAAATATGAATGAAAAGTTTCAGTGAACTTCATGGAAGTGTTTCTCTATCATACACAGCTGATGCCCTGGCAAGAGGTGACCCTCACTCCGATCCTGTTTGAGTCCCTGCATTTTCATTAAATAGTGACTCCGTGGGCACACATGATGTGTCAGGCATATAATCTATTTTACCCATCACACCTATGAGGTTCATCACCCCTTTTTATAGATGAGGAAATTAAGGCTCAGAGAGGTTAAGTAACCTGCCCAAGGGTCACACAGCTAGTGAATGGCTGAACCAAAACTCCAAGTTCAAATCTCATGGCCCTTAGTGGCTTGTGATCTTCTCCAGGACAGCACGGTGACATTGTTGTCTTCTCTCTGCTTTCACTGCTGACTTGAAAAATGGAGAAAGGCAATTTTAGAAAATGCTCCAACAGTGCTCTCAGTAACAGTCATGCAAACGATTGTGAAATATGCTACTTGAGAAAGCTCTTTCCGACTGGTAGAAAAGTCAAGGATTCTGTCATTTTTCCCTCTTTAAAATTCAGTAATGAGTAAAGAGCATAAACAGCAGGAGCCTCTGAGAAATAGTCAAGTAGAATACAGGCACTGAAAAAGCAAGGTACTGGAATACCAGAAGGGAGGGAAGGAGCTAGACAGGAGAAATACTCACTTTTCTTGGGTCTTTTATCTGGCAACACTTAATATTTAATAAATTCTGAATGTTCAACTCCCTGTCCTGATTCTGAACACCAATTTTTTATGAAAATTGTATTTGTTAGTGAGTATCCTAGGAACATTCTTTCATGGTGACACAAAATTAGGTGGCCTTCATTTTCCAAACTTGTGAAAATGATTCTTTGCTTATATGATTGTGTTTTTCTGGTAGAGAAACATCAAGGAAAACAACTTATCACTGGCTGGAATGAGAGCCCTGCCCTCATTCCTAGGTAGTGATCCAGGAGCTGGATTGTCTCTTCTGTTTTCACAGACACGTCTGGGTCGGCCTTTTTCCATTCATCTAATAACATTACTCATTATTTCTTGACAAACATTATTTAACCACTCATTTATTTTTCTTTGGGGTACCAGTTCTAATTAGATATTCATGAGGATGAAATTAAAACATAGCTCAATTTCTGCTAGTGGACTGTGGCATTCTTCATATTAGGGGGAAAAAATTCTATCTCTACAGCATTATAAAGACATTGAGATCCAGGAATATGCTGAACAAAGTCGGAAATGGCCGGTCATAGTCCCTACTTTGGCCAGATTCCCAGTAATGTCATTGTGCCTTTCCCCCAAGAAGTCTATCAGAATGAGGTTCCTCATCTTTTAACGATGAGCACTCCATCCTTGTCTGATGTGAAAGATTTCTCTTTTGGCCTCTCTTTCTTCTCTCCAACCACCTGTCTTCCATCAAAAAGCATTTCCTGAAACACTTTTAAAAACAAAAGTGAAATTAAAATAGCTGTGTTTTGAGATTCCTTCCCCCTTGACAGAATTCTGGGTCAGGCCCAGAGAATCAGTTTCGGTCAAGATCATTTTATAACCCTTAGCACATCCTTCTAGATTCACAAGCACCTAAAAGTTTTATCACTGATTTATTATTTACATCTTTTTACGTAAATGAAAAATTGAGAAGTTGGTTCAAATAATCATCTTAAAGAGAGGATTTTAGAGAGGAATACAGCTTTTGGAGGCAATGTCCCATTTTTAGCTGTGCAGCAGCCATGCTAGATCCTGAGTTCCCAGCCCCAGGGCAGTGGGTTGAGTCTATCCCATCACGGAACT